CTGAGCTTGGAGGTCACAGCCACTCTATCATTTCTCAGCATTATCCTTTCTCGCGCGCACACACACTCCCCAAGCCTCCAACTGGCACACAGCAGATTGAAAACAGCATGCATCAGAGGACTCATGCTGTACAATTTTACAGTCTTTTGGAGCCCCCTCCTTTTGATTCCCCCTTTCCATTTTTTTGGAAATTGCAAATAAGTTTTGATTGTGTCCTTCTCTAGAGTTGTGATTCAAAGGCAAAGGCACACCTAGGAAGAAGGGTAGGCAGAGAACATGGTTGATTTTTGACAGCTGCCAATAAGGTCATTTTCTTTATACCATCACCTGGATGTGGCTTACAATTCCATCGTTCCAAACAGTAAATTTACTTTCAATGTAAACAATCAATTTGGCCTACGGTAGGAAGGTATGCAGATAACACAAAGCCTTTTAATAAAATAATTCTATAATATAGTAACGTAGACATGAAAATTCATTAGCAAAGCACATAGAAAATACCCCCAGAATATGAAGAATTGGTTGTATAAAAATATAAATATTACAATAAATGATAGCTACTATTTATAAGTAAAATATCTTTATAAAGTCAAAATATTTATTATGCTTTGTATAAATGTCAATTCCAGGCTATAAGAAATTAAATTCATGTTTTGAAATGGGTCCTCTTTATTTACTGTTGGTTTTAATTTTTTGGCCATGTTCTTCACTAAAATGACAATGGTGATATTTATTGCTCTGGCTGTTTTAACCCACTAAATTTTACTGCTGAGCTAAAACACAAGCATATTTTAGATATCTTTTCTGACAATAAGAGTGATCGTAGACAGTACGCTAAGGACACTGAGCAAAGAAAGGACATATTTTCATTAAATCGTCGTTACTTAAAAAGAGGCACTTTATTCGTGGTTAAATTTTTCATGTACTTTATAATAATTGCAGATGGAAGGATATGTAACATCTACAATTTTATTAAGCTATATGATAGAAAATTCATGTGGGCTGCTTTTCAAACAGTAATTGAACTTTAAAGATACACTGTAAATATATTTGTTAAATTACGTATAATCATAGCTATAGAAACACAATTAATTCACTTTTTCACTAGTACTAAATAAAGAGGTATATGAAACCATAAAATGTGGCAGAATTTTAATATTACTTAAATAACTAGTCTTTTGTACCTAGTCTATAGGGTTCTATGGAATGTCTAGAATCGTATAGTTCATAAAGCAATGTCCTAATCTTGCCAAAGGAAATCTTCAATCACTTTTACATTTGCCATGGTTATCTAAGAAAGTATCATTGTAGCAACTGTTCAATAAACATCTGAATGGATGAATGAATGAATGAATGAATGGATGCATAATAAATGAGGTTAACTAATATCAAAATCTTCATGATTAAGTGATTTGGGAAGATGACATTAATAGTAAATTTTTTAAAAAAATGATAAATAGTAAAATAAAATGTCCTAATGTAAAGCATCATTATAAAGCATGATGTAAAATCGCATTAATAATCAAAGAAAAAAAGAGAATAACACCTTATAGAGATATTTGTGTTTGATAATGATTATGCTGCTATAGCTATTTATTTTACTCAAAGTTAGCCTGTACATATAATATATTAAAAGTGCTGGTCTGTGGAGACACCAAAATATCACTACTTTAAAATTAAATTTTATTGAATAAATGTTATAATTATTACCAAGTTTCAAAAATGTATGTTCTGCTGTTATTATAGAGAAAAGCAAACTAGGCCTTAGGTATACATTAAGTACCGAACATGCAAGGTCCATTATACAGATGAAAGAGATCTTGGAAGTGGCATATGTTATATTTTCTAATATCATAGTGGTGTGTACAATATTTTGCACTACATATTTGCACATATTGCTGGTGAATCACATTCTAAGATCCTTGTCCAGTTTAAATTACACTTCCAAATATATTTATCTCTTAATAATACAGCAATGGACTTTGGAGTTTTGAGAAGATAAAAGCTGAAGTGCACTTTCCCAACTGATCCCTTTTCTTTCTCAATATATTCTCTGGATTAACGTTAACTGTGAAAGGCATCTGCCAGGACAATAGAGGATTTAAAAAAAATTCTTGGATTTTTCTCTCTCAGTGCTTTCTAATTTTTATCTGTCTGTATTTTTTTCATCTGTGATTATTCTTAAACCGTTACTCTTTAGACATGTCATCACGGTGTTCATGAAGTGAAGAACAGAAGCAATTTTCTAGGTAATTCAGCAAAAGAAAAAACATTGTTATTTGGGCACATTAACTGTTTCAGTTTTTTTACTGAACATTTTCTAATAGTCAGAAAATATGTGATTATTTTCCTGAGTAATCTTAGGGAAAACTACTTGGTTACTCTTCTAACTTCATCCATAGAAAGCTTAACATATTCCTACATCATCATGTAAGATTTTCACAAACACGAAAATTTTTAAAAATAATTTTTCTGCATCTCTTTTTTTCTAAGCCAAGAAACAAGTTATTTGAAACTCCCCTGATCCTTTTCCATGTTCTCTCAGAATGTTTGTTTAGCTCCCAAATGAAATTATTTCTAAACAATCTTACTCCTAACACTATTATTATCTTCATAACTTTACATGATATCTCACTGGATGAGATATACAGCTAAAATTATATCTATACTGTATCACATTGATATTTAAATCAAACATTGTCTGTACATATAGTTGTACTCATATTTTCTGTTCTATTTCAGTTGCCTTTCCTTTGGGAAACCCTTCCCAGGATCTCTCACTGAAGGTAATCTTTCTATCCTAATAACATCCAATACGCTTTATCTGTAATTCTTTGTAAGAATTTGTATCACAGAGTATAGGGATCTATTTCATCACATTGTAAGTTACTTGGGTACAGTATACCTATCTTATAAGTCTTTGTATTACTCACATTTCCTACTATAGCTATCAATGCATGTTTGTGGAATAAATTAATGACTAAATAATGTACAAACATTTACACACACACCTCATTTAGCCTACCAGATCCTTATCTACTTGAAGATCCAGAATTTAGCCCAGTTGCTGGCACATTATAGATGTTCAACAAATATCACTGAGTGAAAAGTAAATGTCTAAATGGTAAGACATGTAGCTTCTTCAAAATGGTACCTTGCTTTTGGGTGGTGGGCTGTTTGTGCTCTTGTCTGTGTGAATGCTGGTAGGAGATACAGCAGCACCAAGGTTGCCCTGGGGTATGCCTGGGAGCTTTCCTCCTGGAGATACCTGCATTGCAGCTAGCTGGGCAGCATATAACTGCTGCAGAGGAAAAAGAGAGAGAGAAAATAAAATAAAATAAAATAAAATAAAAACTATCAGTAATAAAATAAATGAACCACTCAGAAAGTATCTATATTCAGATGTAGTATTTTTTCTATAGATATTTTTGTTTAGTACACTGGAATATTTAAAGAAAGAAGCTGTCACCTCAACTTCCATGACGTACATCTCAGAGGAGAAATGACAAATATCACGTAAAAGGGATTTCAGCTTCAGAAGGTCCAGGAACTCTAAGTG